CCTCCCCTCCTCTCCCCTCCCCTCTCCTCTCCTTTCCTCTCCTTTCCTCCTTCCTTCCCTCCCTCCCTCTCTCTTTCTCCCTTCCTTCTTTCTTTCTTTTCTTCTTTTCTTTTTCTTTTTCTTTCTTTGATGGAGTCTCACTCTGTCACCCAGGCTGGAGTGCAGAGGTCCAAGCTCAGCTCACTGCAACCTCCACCTCCCAGGCTCAAGTGATTCTCCTGTCTCAGCCTCCCGAGTAGCTGGGACTACAGGTGCACACCACCACACCTGGCTAATTTTTATATTTTTAGTAGAGATGGGGTTTCACCATATTGGCCAGGCTGGTCTTGAGCTCCTAATCTCAGGTGATCTACCCGCTTTGGCCTCCTAAAGTGTTGGGATTACAGGTGTGAGCCACTGCACCTATCCCCAGCCTTCATTTTCTTTTCTTTTCTCTCTTTTTTTTTTTTTTTTTGACAGACTCTTGCTCTGTTGCCAGACTGGAGTGCGGTGGCGCAATCTCAGCTCACTGCAACTTCCATCTCCTGGGTTCAAGTGATTCCCCTGCCTCAGCCTCCCAATTAGCTGGGATTACAGGCGTGTGTCACCACATCTGGCTAATTTTTTATATTTTAGTAGAAATGGGGTTTCACCATGTTGGCCAGGATGGTCTTGATCTCCTGACCTTGTGATCCTCCCGCCTTGGCCTCCCAAAGTGCTGGGATTACAGGCATCAGCCACTGTGCCCAGCCTTTCATTTTCCTAAAAAACTTTTATTATTATTATTTTTTTAGGGACAAGGTCTTACTGGGTTGCCCAGGCTGGTCTCAAACTCCTGACCTCAAGCAATCCTCCCACCTCAGCCTCCCCAGGAGCTGGGATTACAAGTGTGAGCCACTGTGCTTGGCCCTATACTATAGGGTAGTTGAACACTTTATTGGGCTGGACATAGAAGAGGTGCTCTGGAAGTGGGAGGCATTTTCCAGGATGCTATGGGAGCATGGACGTCAGGGAAGACTCCCTGGAGTGCATATGTTTGCTTAAAGAAAACAACTCTAATTCATTGATTTCTTTCCCATTATTCTACCCTATTGATTTTACCCTCCACCCCTTGAACCTGGTGTCTCTCTGCTTTACCTCCTTTGAGCTACCGTGCCTCTAAAACAGAATCAATGTTGCCTCTGCTGCTTTTGAAAAATCAGGGCTCATATCAAAAAGCTATGTATCATCTTCATTTAAAGCATTCCTGTAATGTCTGTTAATATGCTGGTTGTCATGTGAAAATGGAAATTTTTTAGTAAGCAGGGCCTAAATATTTATTTGAAAATCCTCTAGTTCTGTCCTTGAGGAAGGATCAGCCAAGCAAGTTTTCAACAAATATTGTTTCTAAAAGGGATATCTGGGGAATGAGTCATGTGATTGGAAGACTTTGGCGGACCTGTCCTTTCCCTGAACCAAGCCCTCCCCCACCACCCAGGCCTCGTCCGGGTTGTGAATCTGTAGCAGGCGTGGCTAGCCTCCTTCATAACAGGGAACGGACTCTGCTTCATCAGTTTCCCAGTGGAGGAGGCCAGGCTCAAAACCCTAGCAGGCAACCAACTTGGGATTGTGCCAGAACAGTAAAAGAATCAAATGCCAGAAAGACAGGCCTTCCACAGGCACCTCCTCTCCCTTCCCCTGCCTGTCCCATTTGGCTACACCTGGCTCTTTGGTCTTTCTGGGAGGTGTAGGAGGGCCTTCAGGCTGCATGTGCTCTGGGGACCAGCGGCTTTGCGGATGCCCTGTGGTCACACACACAGCACTCTGCAGTAGGAGCCTGGCACCCACCCACCCATGGAGGTCACACCTACCATGTGAACATAGCAGATCTCCCTACTGGGGAAGCATGTAAAGGAAATAACAACCAAGGCTTTGCCATAAACAATGTAAAATATCCAAACTCAAGAGAGCACGAGGCAAATTGAGGTTGTTGAAAGTGGTAATTTGTGGGGTGAAAATGAAACCATCGCTCTTCATAACCTGAGAGGTGGCTTCATCCCACTTCCAGCACCCCCACTCCCCCTTTCCCACCTCCCTGACCGCTGACCACAAGTCACTTCTTAGGGAAGCTGGGAAGGACGTTGCCATGAAAGCCACAGAAACTCTGAGTTGTAAAGAGCCCTTGAGGATGTCTAAAGGACCCCTTGGAGTTCTGTGCTAAACTACTAACTGGTTATTGGCACCTACTTGCAGTTTTTCCTGTGACAGGAAGATCATTCCCTCACAAGGTGGCTATTGACTCTGATGGTCTGGAGTGCCAGGAGGTTCATTCTTACAATAGGGAGAAATCAGTTACCCCATAATTTCTGTATCCATGATACTAGCTCTGGAGAAATGCAGGGGGTACCCTTAAATCATGCATCCTGTTCTATCTCTTGCTTCCTCTGCACACCTCCCCACACTCTACTTGTGGCCCCAAAGCTCACACACCCTCTTCTCTTTTCTTTAACCCAATATCCCGGGTTTTCTCACTGTTTCTCGTTCTGTCTCATCTCTGACCCAGGTGCTTCACCCACTGAGTCACCAGCCTCTGGCCACACTTCTGACAAAGCTATAGAGACTGGAGCTGTTTTGTCTTCCTACAGAAACTCCCATCCCCAGCCCCAGGGTCTGACTCCCTCCCCACAGATTCTGGCAAAACAAGAACCCATGTCTGCAAGCCAGACCCTAATTGACAGATCCTAGAGACTACTCAGTTGTCTGTGGGTTATGGACCCTGGAGGCACATAGAAGCCCTTCTGACTCCATTGAAGGTTTGCTCACCAACTCTTTTTTTTTTTTTGAGACAGAATTTCACTTTTGTTGTCCAGGCTGGAGTACAATGGCACCATCTCGGCTCACCGCAACCTCTGCCTCCCGGGTTCAAGCATTGTCCTGCCTCAGTCTCCCAAGTAGCTGGGATTTTAGGCGTTTACCACCATGCCCGGCTCATTTTGTATTTTTAGTAGAGACGGGGTTTCTCCATGTTGGTTAGGCTGATTTCGAACTCCCAACCTCAGGTAATCCGCCCACCTTGGCCTTCCAAAGTTCTGGGATTACAGGTGTGAGTCATCACAGCCAGCCTTGCTCACCAACTCTTTACCTGAAGGCAACTCTCACCCGTTCCTGATTGGAAGGATGGGTCTCCCTCCCAACTGGCAGGAAATCCATACATTCTAGTAATGCTAGCATGCCTCCCTGGCTGAATTGCTAAGAGAGCCCTTAAGTAGACAACAGTCCAGCAACTACAGGGAGAAAAGATTCCAGAAAGTATTCTAGTTTTGGAGCAACTGTGGGACACAGATATCCAGGCAGCAAAGCAAATGTGAGTCTAAACTTCAGTGAGGATCAGTTACATGGGGAACGAAATTAATAATTTCATCCAGCAAATTTTAATTTACTGGTGTCTTTTCTTGCAATAACAAGCTCCTTTTTTAGTTTCCAAAAATTCCAAGGAGGCTCCAGAAGGTTTACTTATGTTTTCCAAAGTGATTCATTTTTGAGATTCTACCAGCGTGAAGAATTTTGACTCCAAGGGAAATAAAATTTAGGACTAAGTAGAAACCAGAGCTTAGAAAGGGAGTAAGGTTGAAACGTGGAGCATAATTCCATTCTCGTGTACTAGTGCATGGGCACAGACGTCAATCACATCAGTTCAAGGTGCTCCATACCTTTATTTCCAACTCATCTCCGGAATATTTCAGTAGCTCAACAATTCTGGCTATTATTTGTTCTTCTTCAGCTGTCGGGAAAAATTCCAGTTATTTCTTTTAAGAGAAGCAAAAAATAATCTTACATGTTTCCAGGGACAATGAATGCTTGTGGCTTGGTAAGGGCTGGAGGAAGAAGCATGCTAATTCTTAGCAAGTAAATCTTACCTCACCTCTTCTGCCCGGACACAAGCCATGCTAGGCATTTCTCCTGCAGCCCCTTCCTTTCCTTCTTTCCCCTTTTCCTTTGCTCAGTCCCCCAACTCACTGAAAAACTCATCCCTGTCGTTGCATTTAGCTTGTTATTGAAGACATCGGTTCCACGGCACAGAATTCTGTCTATGAAGATATTTAGGAGGAATATTCTTCTGGTTTTTGGATATTTCCTCAGCAGATGGTGTTTTTATCTTATGGACACCATAAATCTCATATTTGATCATATTTCCCCCTTTGTGTTAGTTGCAAGAAAGTACAGAGCCAAATTTGTGGCCCACATTTAAGAGGGAGAATAGTCTTGCCGGCCTACATTTTGGAAATTAACCTAATTCCTAAATCCGTCTTATTTTCCGTTTTTGTTTTCTTTTTACAAAAATCGCTTTCAAATTGATGGATTTTATCTGACTAAAATTTATTCTTTGTATGCTGGGTCTTGGTAATAAGGTGAGATATAAATAAGCAAAATTAATAAATTCCCCCACGCCCAAGACTAAAAGGACAGATGGATAGGAAGACGGCCACAGTTGGTGTGTGGGGTGTGGGGTGTGGGGTGTGGGGTGTGGGGTGTGGGGTGTGGTGGAGGAACAGGGGAGGTGGAGTATGTGAGTCTCGCTCTGTCATCCACGCTGGAGTACAGTGGTGTGATCTCGGCTCACTGAAACATCCACCTCCTGGGTTCAAGCGATTCTCCTGCCTCAGCCTCCCGAGTAGCTGGGACTACAGGTATGCACCACCACGCCCGGGTAACCTTTTGCATTTTTAGTAGAGATGGTGTTTTGCTACATTGGCCAGGCTGGTCTTAAACTTGTGGCCTCAAGTGATCCACCTGCTTTGGCCTCCTGAAGTGCTTGGATTACAGGCGTGAGCCACTGTGCCCGGCCTCAGCAAAATAAACATTCTTTGTGTGTGTGTGTGCGATGGAGTTTCACTCTTGTCGCCCAGGCTGGAGTGCAATGTCGTGATTACTGCTCACTGGAAACTCTGCCTCCTGAGCTCAAGCGATTCTCCTGCCTCAGCCTCCTGAGTAACTGGGATTACAGTAGAGACTGGGTTTCACCACGTTGGCCAGGCTGGTCTCGAACTCCTGACCTCAGGTGATTCACCTGTCTCAGCCTCCCAAAGTGCTGGGATTACAGGTGCAAGCCACAGAGCTCAGACAAAATGGAAGTTCTAAATTGACTGAGACCTGTCTTACATATTTTGGGTTTACATTCTCTTAGGGAAAGTTGCTGGGACAGCTGCCTATATTTCTCTTGTGCACAGAAGATGAGGTCACCTTAGCTTTAGCTTGGTTTAGGAGTGGCATTCCATCTCCCAGGCCCACGTGGGATAGCAATAAAATGTCAACACTGGGTCAGACACGGTGGCTCACACCTATAATCCCAGCACTTTGGGAGGCCGAGGTGGGTGGATCACGAGGTCAGGAGTTAGAGACCAGCCTGACTAACATGGTGAAACCCCGTCTCTACTAAATATACAAAAATCAGCCGGGCATGGTGGCGCATGTGCCTGTAATCTCAGCTACTCAAGAGGCTGAGGCAGGAGAATCGCTTGAACTCGCGAGGTGGAGGTTGCAGTGAGCTGAGATTGCACCACTGCACTCCAGCCTGGGAGACAGAGTAAGACTCCATCTCAAAAAAAAAAAAAAAAAAAAGTGTTGACACTGTCTTTTTAGTAGACTCAGGGGCCTCCCCCTCTCCTGCAGCTTCCCACCCCGGCCCGTGGCAGCTGTGGGACCCCTTTAGTGTGGCCACCACTCTGCATCAGGCATCGGGAGACATCAATACCTTTGGAGGGAGAGGCTTCGCCTTGTTCTTTTAGGGTGCTGCTAACTCAGGAGCCACCTTGGCCTCACTGATAAAGGGGTTAAAAAAATTATTTAGGCAGATAGTGAGGGTAAGGAAGTTCTCTGTAAGTTTTTTCTTTTAATGAAAAGCAGCCCCCAAATCATTTTCTAACAAAGAGTAGCCTGTAAAATTAAGCTGCAGACATAGACAAGCAAGTTAGAAGCTTGCACGGTGAATGTTGGCAGCTGTGCCAATAGGAAAAGGCCACCTGGGACTAGGCATGTCCAACATGGCGGCTCCATCTTCCCTTTTCCTTTCCAACCATGTGTGCGACAGGGAGCAGACAACATGGTGCCAGCCAAGTGGAAAGCCCACTTGCATAATAAGATGAGGGTGGGTGGCCAGCTTTCCCATGCTGTGTAAACATCGCACCCGGTCCAGCTGATCTTTGGGCCCTATGTAAACCAGACACCACCTCCTCAAGCCTGTCTATAAAATCCAGGGCACTGTGTTGCAGGCCAGAAGTCCCATTTGGGCTCTCCTCTCTGTTGCAGGAGAGAGAGAGCTGTTCTTTCTTTTTGTTTTGCCTATTAAACCTCCACTCCTAAACCCACTTCTTGTGTTTCTGTGTCCTCGATTCCCTTGGCGTGAGACAACGAACCTCGGGTATTTACCCCAGACAATGATGCTGCATCATCACAACCTCCAGTGGAGTTTGTGGAGAGAGCCAGGAGCAAGGACTAAGGTGGGGAATGCCGGGCCGAGCTTCTCTTCCAGCGGCACTTGGCCTTGCTCCCCTCGACTCTCCCTTCAGTGCCCCAAGTTACCACCAGCCTGATGGGATCTGCAGTCTCAGCTATTGCTATGGTTTGGGTGACAACTGACCCAGCCTTGTCACTACTTCTCAGTTCTGCTCCATGTCTTGCACCATAGGTGGTGACTGGCAACCCCCTGCTTTTTCAAAAAGCCCTAAAGCAGTGTTATAATAAAAATCCCTGGCTGGATGCTCCAACTGTACCTGGTGCACTGGTAACATGATCAGATGTAACACTGCATTTACGATTATAGACAAGGCTAAGTGCAGGCTTTGTGATTCCTCCTCTCCCTCTGTAAGACACTTTCCTTCTGACTTAGCAGAGAGCTGGGCATGTTGGTTCAACCCACTGGGGCAGCCCCCTTGCCTTGGGCTGATGTCTCACGGGGGAGCTCAGTGCCCACAGCATGTGGCTATCAAGCCCTCTGTCCAGGCAGCGGAGGCTGTCAAGATGCAGAGCACCAGGATGGATTAATACACGAATGCTCCTGCGCCCCTGCCTGGCAAACACTCCACCCAGGGAAGGAAAGCTTACCTTTCTTAGGACTTGAAGCGCTTTGCGACTGTAAGATGAGACCGTCAAGCACAAAAGTGTCTTTGGACTTGAAGCCTCTTGCCTGGGTCACTTCCGGAGGTGGCCACGAATAAACAATTTCAGCTACTCGGTTGGCAATGGAAATGACTTTGGGGTCCACAGCTGAAACAAGACAAAATGGTGCTGAGAGGCCCTTCCCAGAACTTCGTCTGGCTCATTGGTATGCAAAGTCGCCCGGAATGAAAAGACCAGCCCGAACAGAAGAAAAGTGCCTGGGAATATGTGTGGTGGGGGAGGGTCGTTCTTCAGAAAGGACTGAAAGTTGCCTGGCAGAGGCGGGGGATGTGGGAGGAGCGCACACAGGAATGATTGTCACCTTGAAACAATTGGCCTTCTGCACACTCTTTTTGAAGTCTTGCAAAATTAGGGTTTCCTTTCCCCTTTGCAAGGAAGGAAACACAAAAAGGAGTGCTTAGCTCTTTACTTGAGAGAATGCTCATTATGCTTTTATTTTTATTCCTTTTTCTTGACATGCTTTATACCTCTAAGAGCCATCCCCTACGTGCATAGGAGGACATTCAATAGTTTGACAAGCATTTGGGGGTTGATCACTGAGGAAAGAAATATCCCTGTTCTCAGGCCATTGAGATTCATCATCAAGTCCATTATCAAGTGAACACCTAACACCCCTCGCTGGTACAGTCCCGTGTCCTCTCTCTTCTCCATGTCTACTGGAAAGCATTCAGTTAAATGCTTATAGATAAACAAGGATGAGTTCAGCACAACTCAGGGCCTTCAAGAATTTACAACCCGAGAAAAGAGTTACGTTCGTGTATTTGCATACAGAATTGTATAATAAAGCACTTCGAGATAGGAAGGTAAAATGGCCTTGGTCCCCTGAATGCCGTAGCCTGTAAAAGACCAGTCACTTTTGCCCCTAAGCGGGGACAAGGGACAGAGGGGTGGGCAGGTGGCATGTCTGAGTCACTGGGTGGTAATTTTCATTGTTGATTTGTCACTAAGTTTTAACCTTTTATTTGTTTATTTAATTTTTTTTTTTTTCCCAGACAGAGTCTTACTCTGTCACCCAGGCTGGAGTGCAGTGGTGTGATCACAGCTCACGGCAGCTTGGGCCTCTCAGGCTCAAGTGATTCTCCCACCTCAGCCTCCTGAGTAGTTGGGATGACAGGTGTGCATCACCATGCCTAGCTAATTTATTAAAATTCTTTTTCTAGAGATGGGATCTCCCTGTGTTACCCAGGTTGGTCTTGAACTCCTAAGCTCAAGCAATCCTCCCACTTCAGCCTCCCAAAGTGCTAGGATTATAAGCATGAGCCACCACCACACCCAACCTAAATTCTAAACTTTTAAAAGCTTGTGCAAGCTGTCTTGGATGCTGTATGTAGCAGCTCGGTTTTACCATGTAACATTTGAAGAATAACAGTAGGTACTTCACAGGACTTGAAAACAGTAACAGAGCGGCATTTTGAACAGAGGTTTGGAGTGCTCAAACTCCTAGGGCACTCCTGGGCTTTGTACAGCACAGTAGGTAAGAGAGACAAGTGGGGCCTGGGAGGAGAAACAGGTTTTGACATCATACAGTGCTGCCAAGGTGGCTTCTGCTCCCTCTCCCTGGATTCCTCTGCAGCTGTGGGCTTTAGTTTCCTCCCTTCAGCCCTCCAGCCATACACAGAAAGGCCACAGAAGATAATGCTCTGTCCATGATGCCATCCTTTGGTGGACATCTGACTTATGAAGCCATCTTTTTCATGCTTAGTCCACAGGGTTTAAAAACCGATAAGGAGCGCATTACAGAAAGAAGAAAGATCAAGAAGAAAAGGGTCAATGTCTTTCCTCCTCATTTTAATAACCAAGCGAAACAGACTCTCCACCTTGTAATCCTCTTATTGCAGCCCAACCAGACTCCTCTGGAACTCCGGCCATGCACAGCCCTAGCAAAGAAAGAGATGGCAAGAGGCTGGCTCCCAAAGCCAAGGAAACCTTCCACGGCCATGTCCTCCGGAGATGAGAAAGGAAAGCAGGCCTCTGCTGCCTTTCCAGCCTTGTGCAGCTCATCCAGGGTGATGAGCATGTGGCATGAGCATGTCTGGGTAACACAGACCCCATCTTTAAAAAAGATGAAAAAATAATAAAAGGGAGCTGAATTATCTAGAAAGAAGGCACCATTTGCCCTTCCTTTGCTTCCTTTTTATTCCCGCCTGAGATGTAGACATGATAGGTGAAGCCCCAGCAGCCACCTTTAGAATATAAGGTGACTTTGAGGTGGAAACCACTAGCTGAGGGATGGCAGAATTCCCAGGAGTCCTTTTGGTTCACCCCTGTCACTCAGGCTGGCGTGCAATGGTGCAATCTCAGCTCACTGCAACCTCCACCTCCCAGACTCGAGCGATTCTCCTCCTTTAGCCTCTCCAGTAGCTGAGACTACAGGCACGTACCATCACGCCTGGCTATTTTTTGTGTTTTTTATAGAGATGGGGTTTTGTCACATGGCCCAGGCTGGTCTTAAACTCCTTGGCTCAAGCAGCCTGCCCACCTCGGATTACCAAAGTGCTGGAATTACAGGCATGAGCTACCTCGCCTGGCCGTTCCCAGGAATTCTTGATGACTTTGTGGAGCTGTCATATCAGGCCTGAACTGCCAAACTTTTGTCCTCTTTTAAGGGAGAGAAAAGCAAACATGTCTACAGCTAGTGCTCAACTTACGACCACAGTCGGGACCGCGGACCGGTCGTAACACGATTTGGTCGTAAGTTGAGTAGGCTATATGTACAGTTGAAGTGGTGCACGCGGAGATGGTAGTGCTGCCGGAAGCTGGTCCGCACTGTCGTACGCCCAGCTGGGCAACGTTTGCGCTGCCAGACGTGGAGCAGTCGTGGCTAGCGATTGTGGTCATAAAGTCGAATGGTCGTAAGTTGCATAGGTCGTAAATCGATCAATACCTGTATTATTTAAGCCATAGGTGTTTGGCTGTTCCACTGAACCTAAGGCTGAACCTAACCTTAACTATAACATTTCATGTGAGCAAATCGTAGCTGTGGAGAAACGAAAGATTCACAAGTAAAAAGCCTGGGTTGGTAGTCTTTAAACCTAGTGTTAATGTCCATTTCTACATCCTGAGGCCTCTTCCTAACAGACTTTGGTCTTGGGACATAATCTCACAGTTCCCACGTAAGCCTGGTATCTGAGGCCTGGCAATGGCTGCATAAGGCTACATTGTGACCTTCAGTTAAAAGAACCTAGGTGAAACCAAATTTGTCAGCCCTGATTTGTATGTGGCAAAATAGAAAAAGAAAGTGAGGCTCCCCTGGATCATGCCCAGTGTAAAACCAACACAAGTGATGCAAGTAAAAACCACATAATTAACTGACTAAATGCAAAAGTGAGGAGAAAGGTGAGAAGGAAAGATAAGCTGTACATATATGCTAAAGCCTTCTTAGGAGGTAATCATTTTTCATTTTTTTGAAGAATATTTTAGATATATATATTCAGCCATAGGTACTATTCAGCTATTCAGCACATGAACACATCATCTAAGTATTTTTGAATTTAATCTTTAATTCTTAATCTCACATAAAAGTTTTCTTTCCCTACTGAAAAAGAAAGGCTACTCTTGAAATTTTAGAAAATAAAAAAATGTCAAATGACACTCCAGTAAATATTAAAATACAGAATGCAGTTTATCTCAGCAAACATCAGAAGACTAAAGTCTTAAAGACTTACTTTCTGTCTGCTGGCAAAGTCCGCAGTACAGGCCAAGTAGAAAAGCCTGTTTGGGTACCTCTAAATTATTCTTTGCCCCAGAGCCCAGATGCCACCCCCAGCAGAAGCCATGGCTGGGCGGAGGTGGCTAAGGGGTGGGGGGGTGGGTGTGGAGGGAAGGTCCACAGGGGGCTGCTCCCTCTAGCTTAGAGTTCAGAGAGCAGATGCCTTGCTATAAAAGTTAAACAAGTCCAGGGAGCGGCCTGGACTTTGGGTGAGTCCAGGCTCTGCTACTTCCTGGCTGTTTCCTTGGTGAGCCCTTTTTGTGGGACTCCGATTTCCTCATCCTGTCTGTGCCACAAGGCTCCCCCAGATGATCCTGACCATGCTCCCGCTGTTCTAAACATCGGAAACTCTAATGGGAAATGGGAGTTCCCTTGATCATAGTGAATGATCTAAAGCTGTCTATGAGTGGGCTAATTCTCCAAGCAAGCCGGGACTGTCACGTTTAAAAACTGAGTCATTACTGCCACCTCTTGACTAATTATTGACAAGTTACCCAGGCCACGCAAACCCAGCAGGAGGGGGCCTTTCTTTTAAAATCTGGGCTTCAGGCACTGGGCTTTGTTGAAGGGAAGAAGATGCTTATGCCAAGGTGTGTGCATGAAGGGCAACTGTCTTCTTTTTTTTCTTTTTTTCAGAGACAGAGTCTCATATGTTGCCCAGAGCTGGGGTGCAGTGATGTGATCTCGGCTGACTGCAGCCTTGACCTCCTGAGCTCAAGTGATCCTTCCACCTCAGCCTCCGCAGTAGCTGGGACAACAGGTATGCACAACCATTTCTGGCTAATTTTTTTATTTTAATTTTTTTTGTGTGGAGACAGGGTCTCGCTATGATGCCAGGCTGATTTCAAACTCTTGGCGTCAAGCGATCCTCCTGCCTTGGTTTCCTACAGTGCTGAGGTTATAGATATGACAGGCACTCACTCTGTCACCCAGGCTGGAGTGCAGTGGCACCATCTTGGCTCACTGTAACCTCTACCTCCCAGGCTCAAGCCATCCTCCCACCTCAGCCTTCTGAGTAGCTGGGAACACAGGCGTGCACTACCGTGTCTGGCTAATTTTTTGTATTTTTGGGAGAGACAGGGTTTTGCCATGTTGCTAAGGCTGGTCTTGAACTTCTGAGCTCAAGCAACCCACCCACTTTATCCTCCCACAGTGCTAGGATTACAGGTGTGAGCCTCAGCGCCTGGTGAAAATGTTTTATTCAATACAACTAATTTTGTCCCACTGAGGGAAAATTTTGTCAAAATACTCCTCAGTTGTTTTTGTAGGATAAGAGTCCTTTTACTCTTGCTCTCTGGTCCCATCAACCATACAAGGTAGAGAGGGTGGGATACCCAGTCTACAGATGGAAACACAGAGGGCCTAAGCTAATGAGTTGACTTAGGAAGAGCGGCAGCCCAAGCCCCTGGTTAGGGCTCCTTCTTTTATGTTGGTGTGTGGCACAGAGGACTAGGAATTTGGGCAACAAACTTATTTACAGATGGTGGAGAAAGAAAACCAGTCCTAGCATGCTTCCTTTCCATCATCCCCCTTTCAGTCTTCAGAAAAGCAGGGCAATTATGATTGAATATTAATAAGCTGGAACACTGAGGCACAACGCATGCCTTCTCTAAAGCCACTTTATGAGATGAGATGTAACACTCTGCACACAAAGAAGGGAAAAACTAGGATGTAGGAGAGAAAGAAATCCCAGATGCCTACCTTCATGCTCCAAGCGCAGCCTCTCATGATAAGCAGACCTGGACCTTTGCTGGCTGTGTGAAACTTGGTTTTCCAATGTCGTTAGACCTTGAGCAGAGACTTTGGCAGGTGGGATCTGCAAATCTTCCTTCTCCACTACTCCAAAGAGTGCTTTCCAAGAAGACTTCTTCTTGGCAAGGTTTATGGGCTTCTCACTGGATTGGGAATTTCTGCAAGGCCATGACACCTGTGTCCCTGACTCATTTGCTGACCAACTCCCCAGGTTCCTCAGGGACAAACTTCTTGTTCGCAGCAGCTTTGGTGAGGAGGCAGCAGGGGTGCTCTTGAAGACATGGTGTCCGGCGTAGTAGGCGAGGATTTTGAATTCTATGGTGTTTAGGTCATCATCTTCTAGGGGGATTTCTTCCAGGTCACACGCACTGGTGCTACACATGTTGGGCCTGTAACAACAAAGTCCACAGTATGCCCATTTGTGCAGGGCCATTTACTCTTTACAAGTTAGGAGAGACAGGAGTAAAAACTCAATAAACTTTTTTTTTTTAGATGGAGTTTCGCTTTTGTTATTCAGGCTAGAGTGCAATGGCATGATCCTGGCTCACTGCAACCTTTACCTCCCGGGTTCAATCAATTCTCCTGCCTAAGCCTCCAGAGTAGCTGGGATTATGAGGGAATGTGTTCTCTTTCGGGGTCCATGAGGGGGTGTAATTTTAAGGGCAAGAATTTCCCAATGCCATGCCCCCCTCCCATCTCTCTCCATCTGAGAGATTTAACAGTTTATGTTTGAAATTCTTAGGCATGGGAAAAAACTAAAAGTCAGTCACTCCAGCAGAAGTTCTAAGGAACTCCTTTCATTGGCCCAGGGTCTTGGAGAAGGTGGGAGTCCCTCCCAGGATAAAAGTCCGTGTCCACACACCTGGATCCCCTCTGGAATCCCCTTCCATACTCTTCGTGGAAGTCTTTCTCTTCTTCTCTTTTCTCTACCTAAATAAAATCACCTTCCTGCAACACTTCTTCGGTCCAATATTTACTTTTATGAGCGTACGGAGCACCTGCAGTGTTCCCATTGCTTATTCTTTAAGAGGCTGGAGACCAAGGACCCACAGCATTCTCTCAGGAGAGCTGTGCCTCACCAGCACCCAAGAAAAAACCTGGTTACAATTACAGGCATGCGCCACCATGCCCGGCTAATTTTGCATTTTTAGTAGAGACGGGGTTTTACCATATTGGTCAGGCTGGTCTCGAACTCCTGACCTCAGGTGATCTGCCCGCCTTGTCCTCCCAAAGTGTTAGGATTATGGGTGTGAGCCACCGTGCCCAGCCTGGCAAACATTTATTGAACATCTACTGTGTTTGCACTGGAGGGTAAAGAGGGAAAAGCCACAGTCTTACTGGGGTGGGAAGAGAGACACAGCCATAGCTAACTCCACACAAAAAGAATGCGCTAAGAGGTCTAACAGAGATGCAGATAGCCATATCAGAAAGCAGGGATAGGAAGCTTCAAAGAGAGAGGCAAGTGAAGGCTTTTGGAAAGCTAGAAGGATAGACAGGTGATACTGGGGCTAAGAACAGGGTGGGCAGAGGGGAGATTATAGGTGAGTTCAGAATGTGTTTGAAGAGTGGTGACAGAACTGGGACAGCATAACTATGCAGTTTGCAAACAGCCAGGGCTCGAAAATAGTGTGCAGAAAATAGGTGAACTAGCACTTGGGTCCAGATTACGGTGGTCTTTGACTATCAGGCTGAAGCTTTGCATTTTCTCACTTTGATCAGCACATTTCAAAAGGAGCTGTGGACTGTGGAGTTAAAAGGGCTTGTTGGGGAGGTGGCAGAAGAGGGAGGCCAGCTTAGGGAAGACAAATGCCTGGGCCCTGACCCTTACCTCCCTCTGTTCCTTCTCCCTCTACCCTCTGCTTTACCTTGTCCAGGCTTCTCTCTCTCTCTGTCTCTCTTTCCTTTTTCTTACTGTATTTGGTGTGCCATGTAAGATTTCTTCTGAAAAAAGAATCCCGTTATTTTATTTTACTTTTTATGAATTCAAAACATGCTGATGGAGACAATGGAGAGCTGTTTAAAGTTTTGAGTAGAGAGCAATGTGATCACAGGCGAGTTTTAAAGCAACAGGATGCATTTTGTCTTTATTTCTATACGAATAGCAGGATAGATAAAGAACTGATTTTGTTCAATTTCCTTTGCTTAAGCTTACATGAAATAACTCCTTTTTCCGGTTTCCTGCTAGGAAAGCAGTTCTTTTTGCTAGTAATCTATTTTCTTCTGCTGTCTGTTAAGGACTACATTTTCCTTTTTGTCTCAGATGCGAGAAAGCCCAGATCTACCGTGTTAAATGTCACAGGCAATGCATGTATCAAAAATGAGCTTGGGATTTTTAGTCTAACAGTCCTAAATTCAGACTGTGGCCATGCCAATGACTAGTTTTGTGACCTGCGGCAAGTTACTCTATCTCTCCAAATATGAACTTCCTAGAGGCAAATTGCACAGATTTTGGGAGGGTGTAGGATACACAAGAGAAATCCCTACACAGAACCTCGCTCAAAAGTGGTAGCTATTTTTTATTTTTATTTTTTCTTAGTTCAACTACTGTCCTAGGCCCTCAGGCTCTTTTTTTTTTTTTTTTTTTTTTCAGACTCAGTTTTGCTCTGTTGCCCAGGCTGGAGTGCACATCATAGCTCATCATAGCATCCAGCTCCCTGGCTCAAGGGATTCTCCCACCTCAGCCTCCGGAGTAGCTGGGAGCACAGCCGCACACCACCACACCTGGGTAAATTTTTTGTTTTGTTTTTTAGAGATGAGGTCTTACTATGTTGCCCAGGCTGGCGTCAAACTCCTGGGCTCAAGTGATCTACCCACCTTGGCCTCCCAAAGTGCTAGGATTATAGCCAGGAACCACTACCATGCCTGGCCTCAGGCTGTCTTTTTCTTTTTTTTTTTTGAGATGGAGTCTCACTCTGTCGCCCAGCCTGGAGTGCAGTGGCACGATCTCAGCTCACCACAACCTCTGCCTCCCACATTCAAGCGATTCTCTTGCCTCAGCGTCCGAGTAGCTGGGATTACAGGCACGTGCTACCACGCCTGGCTAATTTTTGTATTTTTATAGAGATGGGGTTTCACCATGTAGGCCAGGCTGGTCTGAAACTCCTGACCTCAGGTGATCTGCCCACCTGGGCCTCCCAAAGTGCTGGGATTACAGGTGTGAGCCATTGCACCCGGCCCAGGCTCTGTCTTAATACGGCTCTTAATCATGCTCCCTTCCCTTCCTGGTCTAATGTAAGACCATCTCTGGGCATACAAGCCAAAAGATAAATAAGCTATAGTGACATTAAGGGGACTGGCTGGCATGTTCCTCTTTTTCTTTCCACTGCACCCTGTCATACCAGGACCAAGTTATAAAGAAATGGGACAGTAACTGCAGACAGGGTTCGAGGCAGTGTGAGGCGGTACAGACAAATGGGCCTGGGTGTCTGAAGGATGGATGGCCAGGGCTGGCTCAGCCTCTAACTTGCAACATCCTTGGGCAAGTCACTCCATCTTTTTGTTCCTTGGTGTCCACGTTGTTAGACAGACTGAGGACATTCTGTAATTTTTCCCTCTGGTTCTGCTATTGGAAGGAGGTGTAGGAGCTGAAATATCTAGCCTGCAGGCCTGCCGGACGCTGCCTGTTTCCATCGTCGTTTCCTCTCCTTTTTTTTTGTTTTTTTAAAGCCCGAGTCTTGCTCTGTCACCCAGGCTGGAGTGCAATGGCGCAATCTTGACTCACTGCAAACTCCACCTCCTGGGTTCAAGCGATTCTCCTGCTTCAGCCTTCCAAATAGCTGGGATTACAGGCACCTGACACCACGCTGGCTAATTTTTATATTTCTANCCAGGAATTCTTGATGACTTTGTGGAGCTGTCATATCAGGCCTGAACTGCCAAACTTTTGTCCTCTTTTAAGGGAGAGAAAAGCAAACATGTCTACAGCTAGTGCTCAACTTACGACCACAGTCGGGACCGCGGACCGGTCGTAACACGATTTGGTCGTAAGTTGAGTAGGCTATATGTACAGTTGAAGTGGTGCACGCGGAGATGGTAGTGCTGCCGGAAGCTGGTCCGCACTGTCGTACGCCCAGCTGGGCAACGTTTGCGCTGCCAGACGTGGAGCAGTCGTGGCTAGCGATTGTGGTCATAAAGTCGAATGGTCGTAAGTTGCATAGGTCGTAAATCGATCAATACCTGTATTATTTAAGCCATAGGTGTTTGGCTGTTCCACTGAACCTAAGGCTGAACCTAACCTTAACTATAACATTTCATGTGAGCAAATCGTAGCTGTGGAGAAACGAAAGATTCACAAGTAAAAAGCCTGGGTTGGTAGTCTTTAAACCTAGTGTTAATGTCCATTTCTACATCCTGAGGCCTCTTCCTAACAGACTTTGGTCTTGGGACATAATCTCACAGTTCCCACGTAAGCCTGGTATCTGAGGCCTGGCAATGGCTGCATAAGGCTACATTGTGACCTTCAGTTAAAAGAACCTAGGTGAAACCAAATTTGTCAGCCCTGATTTGTATGTGGCAAAATAGAAAAAGAAAGTGAGGCTCCCCTGGATCATGCCCAGTGTAAAACCAACACAAGTGATGCAAGTAAAAACCACATAATTAACTGACTAAATGCAAAAGTGAGGAGAAAGGTGAGAAGGAAAGATAAGCTGTACATATATGCTAAAGCCTTCTTAGGAGGTAATCATTTTTCATTTTTTTGAAGAATATTTTAGATATATATATTCAGCCATAGGTACTATTCAGCTATTCAGCACATGAACACATCATCTAAGTATTTTTGAATTTAATCTTTAATTCTTAATCTCACATAAAAGTTTTCTTTCCCTACTGAAAAAGAAAGGCTACTCTTGAAATTTTAGAAAATAAAAAAATGTCAAATGACACTCCAGTAAATATTAAAATACAGAATGCAGTTTATCTCAGCAAACATCAGAAGACTAAAGTCTTAAAGACTTACTTTCTGTCTGCTGGCAAAGTCCGCAGTACAGGCCAAGTAGAAAAGCCTGTTTGGGTACCTCTAAATTATTCTTTGCCCCAGAGCCCAGATGCCACCCCCAGCAGAAGCCATGGCTGGGCGGAGGTGGCTAAGGGGTGGGGGGGTGGGTGTGGAGGGAAGGTCCACAGGGGGCTGCTCCCTCTAGCTTAGAGTTCAGAGAGCAGATGCCTTGCTATAAAAGTTAAACAAGTCCAGGGAGCGGCCTGGACTTTGGGTGAGTCCAGGCTCTGCTACTTCCTGGCTGTTTCCTTGGTGAGCCCTTTTTGTGGGACTCCGATTTCCTCATCCTGTCTGTGCCACAAGGCTCCCCCAGATGATCCTGACCATGCTCCCGCTGTTCTAAACATCGGAAACTCTAATGGGAAATGGGAGTTCCCTTGATCATAGTGAATGATCTAAAGCTGTCTATGAGTGGGCTAATTCTCCAAGCAAGCCGGGACTGTCACGTTTAAAAACTGAGTCATTACTGCCACCTCTTGACTAATTATTGACAAGTTACCCAGGCCACGCAAACCCAGCAGGAGGGGGCCTTTCTTTTAAAATCTGGGCTTCAGGCACTGGGCTTTGTTGAAGGGAAGAAGATGCTTATGCCAAGGTGTGTGCATGAAGGGCAACTGTCTTCTTTTTTTTCTTTTTTTCAGAGACAGAGTCTCATATGTTGCCCAGAGCTGGGGTGCAGTGATGTGATCTCGGCTGACTGCAGCCTTGACCTCCTGAGCTCAAGTGATCCTTCCACCTCAGCCTCCGCAGTAGCTGGGACAACAGGTATGCACAACCATTTCTGGCTAATTTTTTTATTTTAATTTTTTTTGTGTGGAGACAGGGTCTCGCTATGATGCCAGGCTGATTTCAAACTCTTGGCGTCAAGCGATCCTCCTGCCTTGGTTTCCTACAGTGCTGAGGTTATAGATATGACAGGCACTCACTCTGTCACCCAGGCTGGAGTGCAGTGGCACCATCTTGGCTCACTGTAACCTCTACCTCCCAGGCTCAAGCCATCCTCCCACCTCAGCCTTCTGAGTAGCTGGGAACACAGGCGTGCACTACCGTGTCTGGCTAATTTTTTGTATTTTTGGGAGAGACAGGGTTTTGCCATGTTGCTAAGGCTGGTCTTGAACTTCTGAGCTCAAGCAACCCACCCACTTTATCCTCCCACAGTGCTAGGATTACAGGTGTGAGCCTCAGCGCCTGGTGAAAATGTTTTATTCAATACAACTAATTTTGTCCCACTGAGGGAAAATTTTGTCAAAATACTCCTCAGTTGTTTTTGTAGGATAAGAGTCCTTTTACTCTTGCTCTCTGGTCCCATCAACCATACAAGGTAGAGAGGGTGGGATACCCAGTCTACAGATGGAAACACAGAGGGCCTAAGCTAATGAGTTGACTTAGGAAGAGCGGCAGCCCAAGCCCCTGGTTAGGGCTCCTTCTTTTATGTTGGTGTGTGGCACAGAGGACTAGGAATTTGGGCAACAAACTTATTTACAGATGGTGGAGAAAGAAAACCAGTCCTAGCATGCTTCCTTTCCATCATCCCCCTTTCAGTCTTCAGAAAAGCAGGGCAATTATGATTGAATATTAATAAGCTGGAACACTGAGGCACAACGCATGCCTTCTCTAAAGCCACTTTATGAGATGAGATGTAACACTCTGCACACAAAGAAGGGAAAAACTAGGATGTAGGAGAGAAAGAAATCCCAGATGCCTACCTTCATGCTCCAAGCGCAGCCTCTCATGATAAGCAGACCTGGACCTTTGCTGGCTGTGTGAAACTTGGTTTTCCAATGTCGTTAGACCTTGAGCAGAGACTTTGGCAGGTGGGATCTGCAAATCTTCCTTCTCCACTACTCCAAAGAGTGCTTTCCAAGAAGACTTCTTCTTGGCAAGGTTTATGGGCTTCTCACTGGATTGGGAATTTCTGCAAGGCCATGACACCTGTGTCCCTGACTCATTTGCTGACCAACTCCCCAGATTCCTCAGGGACAAACTTCTTGTTCGCAGCAGCTTTGGTGAGGAGGCAGCAGGGGTGCTCTTGAAGACATGGTGTCCGGCGTAGTAGGCGAGGATTTTGAATTCTATGGTGTTTAGGTCATCATCTTCTAGGGGGATTTCTTCCAGGTCACACGCACTGGTGCTACACATGTTGGGCCTGTAACAACAAAGTCCACAGTATGCCCATTTGTGCAGGGCCATTTACTCTTTACAAGTTAGGAGAGACAGGAGTAAAAACTCAATAAACTTTTTTTTTTTAGATGGAGTTTCGCTTTTGTTATTCAGGCTAGAGTGCAATGGCATGATCCTGGCTCACTGCAACCTTTACCTCCCGGGTTCAATCAATTCTCCTGCCTAAGCCTCCAGAGTAGCTGGGATTATGAGGGAATGTGTTCTCTTTCGGGGTCCATGAGGGGGTGTAATTTTAAGGGCAAGAATTTCCCAATGCCATGCCCCCCTCCCATCTCTCTCCATCTGAGAGATTTAACAGTTTATGTTTGAAATTCTTAGGCATGGGAAAAAACTAAAAGTCAGTCACTCCAGCAGAAGTTCTAAGGAACTCCTTTCATTGGCCCAGGGTCTTGGAGAAGGTGGGAGTCCCTCCCAGGATAAAAGTCCGTGTCCACACACCTGGATCCCCTCTGGAATCCCCTTCCATACTCTTCGTGGAAGTCTTTCTCTTCTTCTCTTTTCTCTACCTAAATAAAATCACCTTCCTGCAACACTTCTTCGGTCCAATATTTACTTTTATGAGCGTACGGAGCACCTGCAGTGTTCCCATTGCTTATTCTTTAAGAGGCTGGAGACCAAGGACCCACAGCATTCTCTCAGGAGAGCTGTGCCTCACCAGCACCCAAGAAAAAACCTGGTTACAATTACAGGCATGCGCCACCATGCCCGGCTAATTTTGCATTTTTAGTAGAGACGGGGTTTTACCATATTGGTCAGGCTGGTCTCGAACTCCTGACCTCAGGTGATCTGCCCGCCTTGTCCTCCCAAAGTGTTAGGATTATGGGTGTGAGCCACCGTGCCCAGCCTGGCAAACATTTATTGAACATCTACTGTGTTTGCACTGGAGGGTAAAGAGGGAAAAGCCACAGTCTTACTGGGGTGGGAAGAGAGACACAGCCATAGCTAACTCCACACAAAAAGAATGCGCTAAGAGGTCTAACAGAGATGCAGATAGCCATATCAGAAAGCAGGGATAGGAAGCTTCAAAGAGAGAGGCAAGTGAAGGCTTTTGGAAAGCTAGAAGGATAGACAGGTGATACTGGGGCTAAGAACAGGGTGGGCAGAGGGGAGATTATAGGTGAGTTCAGAATGTGTTTGAAGAGTGGTGACAGAACTGGGACAGCATAACTATGCAGTTTGCAAACAGCCAGGGCTCGAAAATAGTGTGCAGAAAATAGGTGAACTAGCACTTGGGTCCAGATTACGGTGGTCTTTGACTATCAGGCTGAAGCTTTGCATTTTCTCACTTTGATCAGCACATTTCAAAAGGAGCTGTGGACTGTGGAGTTAAAAGGGCTTGTTGGGGAGGTGGCAGAAGAGGGAGGCCAGCTTAGGGAAGACAAATGCCTGGGCCCTGACCCTTACCTCCCTCTGTTCCTTCTCCCTCTACCCTCTGCTTTACCTTGTCCAGGCTTCTCTCTCTCTCTGTCTCTCTTTCCTTTTTCTTACTGTATTTGGTGTGCCATGTAAGATTTCTTCTGAAAAAAGAATCCCGTTATTTTATTTTACTTTTTATGAATTCAAAACATGCTGATGGAGACAATGGAGAGCTGTTTAAAGTTTTGAGTAGAGAGCAATGTGATCACAGGCGAGTTTTAAAGCAACAGGATGCATTTTGTCTTTATTTCTATACGAATAGCAGGATAGATAAAGAACTGATTTTGTTCAATTTCCTTTGCTTAAGCTTACATGAAATAACTCCTTTTTCCGGTTTCCTGCTAGGAAAGCAGTTCTTTTTGCTAGTAATCTATTTTCTTCTGCTGTCTGTTAAGGACTACATTTTCCTTTTTGTCTCAGATGCGAGAAAGCCCAGATCTACCGTGTTAAATGTCACAGGCAATGCATGTATCAAAAATGAGCTTGGGATTTTTAGTCTAACAGTCCTAAATTCAGACTGTGGCCATGCCAATGACTAGTTTTGTGACCTGCGGCAAGTTACTCTATCTCTCCAAATATGAACTTCCTAGAGGCAAATTGCACAGATTTTGGGAGGGTGTAGGATACACAAGAGAAATCCCTACACAGAACCTCGCTCAAAAGTGGTAGCTATTTTTTATTTTTATTTTTTCTTAGTTCAACTACTGTCCTAGGCCCTCAGGCTCTTTTTTTTTTTTTTTTTTTTTTCAGACTCAGTTTTGCTCTGTTGCCCAGGCTGGAGTGCACATCATAGCTCATCATAGCATCCAGCTCCCTGGCTCAAGGGATTCTCCCACCTCAGCCTCCGGAGTAGCTGGGAGCACAGCCGCACACCACCACACCTGGGTAAATTTTTTGTTTTGTTTTTTAGAGATGAGGTCTTACTATGTTGCCCAGGCTGGCGTCAAACTCCTGGGCTCAAGTGATCTACCCACCTTGGCCTCCCAAAGTGCTAGGATTATAGCCAGGAACCACTACCATGCCTGGCCTCAGGCTGTCTTTTTCTTTTTTTTTTTTGAGATGGAGTCTCACTCTGTCGCCCAGCCTGGAGTGCAGTGGCACGATCTCAGCTCACCACAACCTCTGCCTCCCACATTCAAGCGATTCTCTTGCCTCAGCGTCCGAGTAGCTGGGATTACAGGCACGTGCTACCACGCCTGGCTAATTTTTGTATTTTTATAGAGATGGGGTTTCACCATGTAGGCCAGGCTGGTCTGAAACTCCTGACCTCAGGTGATCTGCCCACCTGGGCCTCCCAAAGTGCTGGGATTACAGGTGTGAGCCATTGCACCCGGCCCAGGCTCTGTCTTAATACGGCTCTTAATCATGCTCCCTTCCCTTCCTGGTCTAATGTAAGACCATCTCTGGGCATACAAGCCAAAAGATAAATAAGCTATAGTGACATTAAGGGGACTGGCTGGCATGTTCCTCTTTTTCTTTCCACTGCACCCTGTCATACCAGGACCAAGTTATAAAGAAATGGGACAGTAACTGCAGACAGGGTTCGAGGCAGTGTGAGGCGGTACAGACAAATGGGCCTGGGTGTCTGAAGGATGGATGGCCAGGGCTGGCTCAGCCTCTAACTTGCAACATCCTTGGGCAAGTCACTCCATCTTTTTGTTCCTTGGTGTCCACGTTGTTAGACAGACTGAGGACATTCTGTAATTTTTCCCTCTGGTTCTGCTATTGGAAGGAGGTGTAGGAGCTGAAATATCTAGCCTGCAGGCCTGCCGGACGCTGCCTGTTTCCATCGTCGTTTCCTCTCCTTTTTTTTTGTTTTTTTAAAGCCCGAGTCTTGCTCTGTCACCCAGGCTGGAGTGCAATGGCGCAATCTTGACTCACTGCAAACTCCACCTCCTGGGTTCAAGCGATTCTCCTGCTTCAGCCTTCCAAATAGCTGGGATTACAGGCACCTGACACCACGCTGGCTAATTTTTAATTGTAGAGACAGGGTCTCACCACTTTGGCCAGGCTGGTCCTGAACTCCTGACCTCAGGAGATCCACCCGCCTTGGCCTCCCAAAGTGCTGGCATCACAGGCATAAGCCACTGTGCCTGGCCTCCTCTCCTTTATTTAGAAGAGGCTCATACTGGCTAACAGCAAAGCTGTTTATTTGAGGAACTGCTCCTTGGCCGGGCCCCAAGAAAGCAAGGGTCCCTGGCTAGGTGCATTCTGATGGAGGTGAGCCTGAGAGGGATGCAGGGGGCTATGCCACAATATCAGGTGACGATGGAGGGGACAGAAATGGCTCTCCCAGTGCAGCAAAGGGCAAGTTGCAAAACCCGCCAGACCTACTACACAGACACAGTTACACAACCTCCAAGCCCCACAAACCTTGCTCACAAAACTCAATGTGGGCAAATTCTTGAGGAATATGGCATGTGGGGGTCATGACCGCCATCCTTCCTCCTTCTCTGCTGTTTCTTCACATTCCTGTCTTATTCCAGGGCTTGGACAATCTTTTTACTGTATAAACATGTAGATATATTTGAGATGATAGAGAACTAAACGTGGTGTGTATTTTAGATGATAGTAAGGAAGTATTGATCATCTTGGCTGGCACCATGGCTCACACCTGTAATCCCACCACCTTAGGAGGCCAAGGTGAGAGGATCACTTGAGGCCTGGATTTGAAGACCAGCCTATGCAACCAAGTAAGATCCCATCCCTATTTTTTAAAATTTAAACATATATTATAAAAATTTAAGGCCAGGTGTGGTGGCTCACACCTGTAATCCCAGCACTTTGGCAGGCTGAGGTAGGTGGATCACCTGAGGTCAGGAGTTCAAGACCAGCCTGGCCAACACGGTGAAATCCCATCTCTACTAGAAATACAAAAATTAGCTGGACATGGTGGTGGGTGCCTGTAATCCCAGCTACTCCGGAGGCTGAGGCAAGAGAATCTCTTGAACCTGGGAGGTGGAGGTTGCAGTGAGCTGAGATCGCACCATTCCACTCCAGCCTGGGCAACAAGAGTGAAACTCTGTCTCTAAATAAGTAAATAAATAAATAGTAAGAAAAGATAATCTCATTAAATGTGGTAACATTGCCATTAAAAAGCACATATCTGGGCTGAGTGCGGTGGCTCACACTTGTAATGCCAGCACTTTGGAGGGCCAAGATGGACCTATCACTTGAAGTCAGGAGTTCAAGACCAGTCTGGCTAACATGGTGAAACTTTGTCTCTACTAAAAATATAAACATTAACTGGCTGTGGCGGCATGTGCCTGTAATCATAGCTATTCAGGAGGCTGAGGCAGGAGAATCATTTGAACCCAGGAGGTAGAGGTTGCAGTGAGCCGAGATGGTGCCACTGCACTCCAGCCTGGGCAACAGAGCCAGACTCCGTTTAAAAAAAAAAAAAGTACATATCTGTAAGTATATATAGTATATGTGTTTATAAAACAAAGTAGATATACTGTAAGATATGAAGGGGACTTGGCTGCCTTCCCCAGCACCTAGAGTAGTGCTTGAGGCTCTGCTGACTGAGCTCTCCTGGCTCACTAATGGAAGGTGCTCAAATATCTGATGGCTGATTGAATGTGTTATAGGGCTGCCAGACACATTCAGAATACAGGACACATTCGGTCACATTTGAAGTTCAGCTAAAGAGCAAATAATAGTATATGTCCCAAATATCACAAGACTAATTTATAATAAATATTAGTATATGTCCCAAAGAAAATATATGTTAAAAAAAGAAACCCTCATACTTGTTTTTTATCTGAAATTCAAACGTAACTGGCTGTCTTGCATTTTTGCTTGCTAACTCTGGCACCCCTAGGAGTGGAAGCTGTTGCTGAGACACACTGAGACCTGAGGTACGTGCAAGCAGGCAAAGTGGGCCACCAAGCGGGGTGAGGCTCCGGTGGGGTCTGTGGTCAGAATTAGGTGCAGCAGACTTGGTGGGAAAAAGCCTGAGTCTAGCAACAGCCAGACATGGAATTTCTCAGGAGAGGATTCAAGGCTTCCTTTTGTACTGAGCGGCTCAGGACACTGTAGGTTTGATGTGTACCCTGGTCCTTCAGGAGCTGTGTCCTCGGGTAGGAGGCTGAGCCCCCTCGTGAAGCCAGTAACACCGTGCTGCTGAAGAAATTCCCATTTACGTTAAAAACAAGACAAACCCAGCTGGGCACAGTGGCTCACGCCTATAATCCCAGCACTTTGGGAGGCTGAGGTGGGCGGAGCACTTGAGGTCGGGAGTTTGAGACCAGCCTGACCAACATGGAGAAACCCCATCTCTAATAAAAATACAGAATTAGCCAGGCATGGTGGCACATGCCTGTAATCCCAATTACTTGGGAGGCTGAGGCAGGAGAATTGCTTGAACCCGGGAGGCGGAGGTTACAGTAAGCCGAGATGGTGCCACTGCACTCCAGCCCGGGCAACAAGTGAAACTGTCTTGAAGGAAAGAAAGAAAGAGGAGAGAGAGAGAGAGAGAAGAGAGAGGGAGGGAAGAGAGAGAGAGAGAGAGAAGAGAGAGAGGGAAGAGAGAGAGAGAGAAAAAGAAGAAAGAAAGAAAGAAAGAGAGAGAGAAAGAGAAAGAAAGAAAGAAAGAAAGAAAGAAAGAAAGAAAGAAAGAAAGAAAGAAAGAAAGAAAGAAAGAAGAGAGAAAAGAAAAGAAAAGAAAGGAAAGCAAGCCAGATCCTTTTAATGTAACACAAGGGCTTTAAAATTGTGTGTGTGTGTGTGTGTGTGTGTGTGTGTCCACGCGCGCGTATGTGTGGGGTGTGTTTTGCTGGAGAGAGGACTTCTTTTAGAAACAAGTTTGCTAATGCTGTTTCAGCAGCAACATCAGAAATCAGGGAAAACCACCAAGGTTAAGATAGACCACTTAGTCCTTCCGTTTCGTAAAATACAAGATTTTTGTTGTCTTACAGGCAAAAAAGACGACTTGGCCCAGCCAACAGGCAAAACTAAGGATGAGAGGGGATGAGAGAGAGGCAGAGAGAACAGTGCTCAGGAGCCAGCCGCAGAAGGGGGCTACCCTACAGGGGAGGGATGAGGGGCTGCCGCCGCAAGAGCCTGGATTGCACAGAGCTAAAGAGAACAAATAGACACAAAAGGGTTAAGAGGGTTTAAATGTATATAACAAATGTACATGCCGGGCCAGTGGCTCATGCTTGTAATTCCAGCACTTTGGGAGGCCCAGGAGGCAGGATCACTGGAGCCCAGGAGTTCCAGGCCAGCCTTGGCTCCGTCTTTACAAAAAAATGAAAAAATTAGCCAGGCATGGTGGCGTGTACCTGCAGTCCCAGTGACTTGGGAGGCTGAGATATGAGAATCGCTTGAGCCTGGGAGCTGGAGGCTGCAGTGAGCTATGATCGCCCCAGTGTACTCCAGCCTGGGTGGCAGAAGGAGACACTCTCTTAAAAAACAAAATAAAAGCTGGGTGGGGTGGCTCATGCCTGTATCCTAGCACTTTGGGAGGCTGAGGAGGGTGTTTCACCTGAGGTCGGGAGTTCGAGACCAGCCTGACCAACATAGAGAAATCCCGTCTCTACTAAAAATACAAAAATAGCTGGGTGTGGTGGTGCATGCCTGTAATCCCAGCTACTGGGGAGGCTAAGGCAGAAGAATTACTTGAACCCGGGAGGCGGAGGTTGCAACGAGCCGAGATCGCACCACTGCACTCTAGCCTGGGCAAAAAAGAGCAAAACTCCACTCAAAAACAAACAAACAACAACTAAAAAAAAGCATAAAGAAAAAAACCCATCCACACAAATGTGGAGTTTTTCTTTCTACTAATCCTCATTATAAATTACTTGATTGTTCAGTTTATAGCTAAGTCTTACTTTCAATCAGCAGCAATTGAGTATTATCACAGGTTAGATCCCTTCTGCTCTCAGCTGTTCCTACAGAAATTTTAGTTCATCCAAGAAGCCCAACTTTGGGGTTCATGGAAATATAAACCATAAGTTTTATGCTTATGTTGATAGAAGCCCTGGGTGGGGCCCCTGAGTGCTCGTTCAGAACGTGGAGGGGAGATTTCCGTTCCCAAGGGAGACCTGTGAGGCTTATTCTAATTCAGGGCCTCAGAGGACACAGCCCTGCCTCACCCACCTGTGTTTACCTTCCTGCTCCTTGTCTATAACAAACCTGCACTCTGAGAAGCAAGGCTGCTTGGCCTCTTTTCCTCCCCGAGGTGGCCGGGGTCCTCCACATCTGGCCCCAGCGTGTCCTCTGGGAACACTGGCTGCCTGGCCGGGTGTGCTAAGAGGCCGGCTGGGAAGGCTACACTCCAAGGAGCACCTACATTCCAGGTATCGCCAGACGCAGTGTTGCGGGGTTCTCACTTGTTGAGGTTAGATTTCACTTCCCGGCAGTGGCAGCTAACAGATGAGCACACAGAGGAAACCGTAGCAAGCACCTGGTGTTTCCACACACAGAGGCGGACACCACCCAGCGCCGCAGTTGTGCTGGACAGCTGGTTCTCTGTGCCTCTGCCTGTCCAGCAGTGAGGGGTATGGAGAATCCCGTGGCGGCTCCATCCCAGCAGAAGACCTGACTTCATGTGCTCTGGACACACAGATGAGCCCTGAGTGGATCTTGTGGGCACTGACACTCATCCCCACAAAGCCTCTCACACTACATCCTAAGCTCAGCTTGGTTCTGTTGTCTGGACCCTCCCCTTCTGCCCTTCTCCTCTCCCCATCATTTCAGACCTCTCAGGGTCTTCGTGCCTTCCGCCTGGACTGTTCTTTAATACTAAACGTGAAATGAGGAAGGAGAGAAAGTGCCTTAATTTCCCACAGTAGAAGCTGAATGCTAGACAGAGCCTCAGGTCATATTCATCAAACAGAAGGACCAAGACTGTAATGGTGGCAAGAAGTGGGCAGGGAACTCAGGGAGGAGGGAGCTTTCTAGAGGGGAGAGAAAAGGGTCTTTCATTTACCTGTGCCTTAGACTCAGGGAGGTCTCTGGGGGCCTAGACCTCCTGCGGATGAGTACCCAAGCTCCCATGAGGTGCTCAGTTCTCTGATCTCAAAGCAGGAATTCCCATGCTGGCTCCAGACCCTCCATCCCTGTAGTGTCCAGCTTGGGCAGTGGTGTCCCTGGCCACGGAAAGCCTCTCATGTCATTGCATATCTCACCAGATACACAAACAGAGAGGACTGTGTAACGTTACATGCCTCAACTAGTAATGTATTCTTAACTGAACATCCCAAACCCTCTGTAGCAAAAGAGAAATGAAAGAGAAACCTAAATAACTTTTCTTTCTCTTTCCTGGAACTCCGATAAACTAGATTCTCAATGTCATTTTGTGACCTGAGACTTACATGATAAGAACTTTGTAATAAACCCAGTAAAGAGCTCCCTGAATTAGACTGCCACATTTGGCAAAGAGCTAAAGACCAGGCTGTGTCCTCCTGCAAAGGCTGAGAATGAAGACTGGTGCCTCCTGGTGTTACCTGTCTGGAAGCTGTCAGTGATTTCTCCTGCTTCAAGTCAAGTGGCAGTAAGGATACTTCTATACCTGAGTCTCTGTCCACGAAACTCAAGAGGAAGCTTTCAACAGGTCTTCTTGGCTTGTCGTTTGGAAAGACCCATGTAGTTTAGAGCTCCAGGCTGCAGATTCTTCAGGTTTAGGACTAAGGCTGAAAAGAGGCTTAAAGAAGAATCACTTCCTTATTAAGCCCTGCCCCTGGCTTTTTAATTGAAGGAGGGGCTGACCTTTGGCCATGTAATTTGACTCTAAAATTCTGCATCTGTTACCTGGCACTCTTCCTGCCCTTTGGGATATCTAGGTGGGTGTTCACTTCTTTATTCTCCGTATCAGTTGTCAGTTGAACAATGTTTGCTGACCACCTAACATGGTACAGGTACTATACACATATTTAATCTTTTTTTTTTGAAACAGAGTTTCACCCTGTTGCCCAGGCTGGAGCACAGTGGTACGATCTTAGCTCACTGCAACCTCCGCCTCCTGGGTTCAAGTGATTCTCCTGTCTCAGCCTCAGCCTCAGCCTCCTGAGTTTCTGAGATTACAGGCACGTACCACCACGTCCGGCTAATTTTTGTAATTTTAGTAGAGACAGGGTTTCGCCATGTTGGCCAGGCTGGTCTTGAACTCTTGGCCTTGGTTGGCCCACCAACCAAGTGCTGGGATTACAGGCGTGAGCCACCATGCCCAGCCCACATATTTAATCTTAACACATTGAGAAGCAGGTGTTACGATTCCCATTGCACAGATGAGGAAACTGAGGCTCAGAGGGGTGAAGTACCTTGCTAGGGATCCCTGTCAGTTGAGCTGAGTTCCAAATCGTCGTCTTTCTGGCTTTACATTACATCATGTCACCTATTCTATGAGACTCAAAGATTGTATTCAAGTAGAACCACTGGAAAAGCATTAAAAAAGGAATCTAACCACAGCCATAGTAAAAAACACAAAAACCCATTGAGAGGCCAAATGTCATAATTTTAGAGATGGGATTCCCTATTGTATGAAATAGGGAACAGTTACATCTGATTTTATGCTCTATCTAGAGTCTTAAATAAAATAGATGTGTATGGCCATGCTTGAGACCATAAACTCTAGAGACTGCTCAAACTGTGAGGGTGAAGGAAGTCTGAATAGTGAAAGGGGAGTTAAAGCTATTTACATAAAAATGGGGAAGAATGGATCATTTAAATATTATGCAAACAGATTCACAAGAGACAGATGGTAATTTTGGGAAGTTAGATATTTAGTAACTCAAGGTGAATTTTCACTGGCAAACTAATATTTTTTTGCACCAGTGTGGTCAACGTAGAGGGCAATACTAGGAATGATTTTTCTCTTTTTATAAAAACTTGCCATTTTTGGGGGGGAGAATGATGAGATATATTCACTGGAAACAAGTCAAGAATAAACAAGGCCTGGCTCAGTGTCTCAAACCTGTAACCCCAGTTTTTGGGAGGCTGAGGAGGGAGGATCACTTGAAGCCATTTGAAACCAGCCTGGGCAACATAGTAATGAGACGTGAGGTCCTCGGGACTGGTTTGCAAGGTGCAGGTCACAAAGACACCACTGATACAATGACATACAGTAAAGAAGCAGCCCAAACTCATCAAAACCAAGATGCAATGAAAACCATCTCTGGTCATCCCGACTGCTCATGATACGCTGATGATAATTTGCTGGCGTGCTAAAAAACATTCCTACCAGCCCCACATCAGTTTACAAATGCTACGGCAATGTCTGGGAGTTACCCTACATTGTCTGAAATGGGAAAACCCTCAGTTCTGGGAACTCCCCACCTTTTTCCTGGAAAACTCATGAATAATGCACTTTTTGTTTAGCAATGATCAAGAAATACCCATATATTCAATCAAGCAGCCATGCCACTGCTCTGCCTATGAGTAGCCACCCTTTTATTCCTTACCTTGCTTAATAAACTCGCTTTCATTTTGCTTGGTTGGCTCACTCTTGAATTCCTTCCTGCAGGAAGCCAAGAACCCAGTTGGCCCCCCAGGCTGAACCCTAATTTTGGGATTCACCCTGTGATAGTGAAACCCCATCTCTTAAAAAAAATTTTTTTTTAAATTAGCCAGGCATGGCTCACACATGTAATCCTAGCTACTCAGGGGGCTGAGGTGGGAGGACCACTGGAGGCCAGGTATTCAAGAGCAGCCAGGCAACATAGCATGGTGGCACATGCCTGTAGTCCTAGCTACTTGGTAGTCTGAGGCAGGAAGATTGCTTCAGCCCAGGAGTTCAAGGCTGCAGTACGCTAGGATCATGCTGTCGTACTCTAGCCTGGGCAACAGAGTGAGACCCTGTCTCAAAACAAAAAGCCAAAGCAAACCATAAACTCGCAAATGCGTATAAGCAATAATAAAATCACATCATATAGTATGTACTACAGGAGTTCTGAGTTACGTAACTGAACAATGTTGGTGGCAGAAACCATTTAAAATCCTGAAGGGTCTTGGTCAGGCACAGTGGCTCGTACCTGCAATCCCAGCAATTTGGGAGACCAAGGCAGGAGGACAGATTGTGTTCTCGAGTTTGAGACCAGTATGGGCAACATAGTGAGACCCCATCACTACCAAAATAAAAATAAAAAATTAACTGGGCATGGTGGAGCACACCCGTAGTGTCACCTAATCAGGAGACTGAGGTGAGAGGACAGCTTGAGCCCGGTGGTCGGGGAGTGGGAGATGGTCGAGGCTGCAGTGAGCTGTGATCACATCACTGCACTCAGCCTGGGTGACACAGCCAGACCCTGTCTCAAAAAAAAGAAAGAAAAAAAATCCTGAAAGGTTGTGTCAAGGCAACTATGAACACAGGGAAGGGACAATCCCCACAAGGAAGCTAAGGACAGCCACTGTGTCTCGGTCAACTATGTTCTCTTCATACCTAGCAAGCTGGCCAGGGAGAGGTCACAATACATGTTAGATATTAAACAGCAAAAACAAAAACCACTTTTCTCCAGATTTTAAACATAAACATGCTGTTGTAGAAAACTTGTAAAACCGGGTACATAATAAGGATGGCCATAATGCAGTCATTCAGTGGGAAATGCTGCTAAAAATCTGGTGGACATTCCTCTTTTCCTTGAGAAAAAGCAGGCACAGGACAAACTCCCTGCCGTCTCCCTCTCTATGAGAAAAAGCAGATGATTTTTTTTCTTCAGAGTCTTGCTCTGTCCTCCAGGCTGGAGTGCAGTGGCACGATCTCGGCTCACTGCAACCTCTGCCTCTAGGGTTCAAGCTATTTTCCTGCCTCAGCCTCCTGAGTAGCTGAAATTACAGGCGTGTGCCACCATGTCCAGCTCATTTTTGCATTTTTAATAGAGACAGGTTTCACTATGTTGACCAGACTGGTCTCCAGCTCCTGAGCTCAAGATATTCATTTGTCTCGGCCTCCCCAGAGTGCTGGGATTACAGGTATGAACCACTATACCCAGCCATCATAACTTCTAATAAACTTATTTTGTAAATAGAATTTATTAATGGCTGCATTGTTCTAGTGAATGATAGCATTAAAATTATTCAGCCAGAGGAGAATTGCTTGAACCCGGGAGGTGGAGGTTGCAGTGAGCTGAGATCGTGCCACTGCACTCCAGCCTGGGTGACAGAGCGAGAATCTGTTTCTGAAAAATAAAAATAAAAAATAAAATAATTCAGCCAGGCAACTACTTTTAAATGTTTTGTCTTCAAGTGCTTACTGTTACAAATACTGCCACAGGATACAGTTTTTCATCTTTGCTCACATGTTCTGTTGTTTCCTGAAAAATGATTCCTCAGAGCGGAATTATTGGGTATGAATATTTTAAAAATTGTTATATATGCTTTCAATTCACTTTATGACTCTGTAATTGATTTATATCATCATTGGAAATAATATCTTAGAGAAAAATCCCAATGAGTTTGAATAATATAGACAAAAGCCCATCCTCAGGAAAACTTTGGGGATTTTGCCCATCATTACGAGTAACCAAATAAGACTTGAAAGTCCAGATGAGCAGATTTTAGAGTGGACACCAGATTACTTTGGGGCTGTGATGTTTATCCTTGTTTTGATCTCAATGATGAAACTTGTTGGGAACGGGTTTATAACATCTGGAAACATCCACACGGAGACAACGGGTCACTCAGCAAGGCTAGTTTACTTCCTACAGGAAGGGTGCAACTTGCCGGCAGTCTTGCCACGAGAGCACACCTGAACAAAGGAGACGGGGACGTTTATAACTTTCATAACCTGATGCGATTGTCCTATTGCTGTGTCCATTTTCCACTGGCTGGAACGGGACCTCACATTCTATGCTTGACCCGATTGACTAAAAACTTGGCAATTTCCTGAATAAATAAGGGAAAAGAAGACAAAGAAGAAGAGGAAGCTAGTCAGGAGAAGGTCAGAGGGTTTCCAAATAAGGAATGGCATGCACTGAGGTTTGGAGCTTGCCCAGTTCTGTTCAGATGTGTTGGAGCGGGTCATGGTAGCTGACTTAAGACCTAGCTGATTTAGAGAATATATATACCTGGGTATATGTTTATGCTAATAGTGGATAATGGCCATAGAGCAAGAGATTGTAACTCCTTATAACGTTGTCTAAGAGATAAACTTTGAAGAAGAACTTTCCCATCTCTCACAATTCCCTCCTCTTTTTATTTCATAATAATTCTTCTTATCTAATAGGTCCTTGCTTCGTTGTTCGGCTTGATCTTCCAACAGAAGTAATTTCTTTGGATAGGGTGGAGGAGGAGTTGGAGATAGGTTAGGGAGGGTGGTATTAACGAGCCTTTGCACGAGTGCTCACACACAGAGTATAACACAACATCCTGCAAGAAGTATACCTAATACCACTACCAGGGAAGTGAGGACTGATGCCAAAGTGTCCTTCCATTTGCCAAACCAGGTCTCTAGCCA